GGGGTTTCACCATGTTGACCAGGATGGTCTCGATCTCTTGACCTCGTGATCCACCCGCCTCGGCCTCCCAAAGTGCTGGGATTACAGGCTTGAGCCACCGCGCCCGGCCCTTATTCCATTTTTTTAAATGGAAAAGGTAGACTATTGTCAAAATTATTTTCTACCTTTTTTTTTTTAACTTTACTGATATTTGCTAACTCTTACTTAATTCCAAAATTTCAAATGTCCCTCATCAATTGGCCACTCTTCTAAATGCAAGTGCAACACAGTTCTGCTTAGGTTGGAGGGAGCGGTTGGTGGAAGGAGGGCTTTCTTCCCATGGAAGTTCAGATTTTTCTTTCAAACCAGATTGGGTTTTTGTGCTAGGTGGCTTGGCTGCATCCCTGCTGGGCTGGGTGTCCAAGATTACATGTGACATCATCAGTCCCTGTCCTGGGAGTGAACCTGATGGTGGAGAAGCTGTTAAGTTCCCACAGGAAGCAATTCATGCCTGTAAAGAACCTCTTGGTTCTTTGTCAAGAGATGCAGTGGGCCCAAGAGACCGCTGGGGATTAGATCTAGGGGCTGGTGAGGGTTCTCTTTCTCCTGCCTGTCCCTCAGAAATAACCAAATCCATAGCAGTGATGACCCCCACTTCTCTGGCGAGGGCCCCATTTCCAAGTGCGAGGGAAAACCCAGGGTCCCCTGCCCAGTATAGTCAGGAAGGAAGAACTGAATGGTGGGACAAGCCTGGAGTCCTAGGTTTCCTGGGCCTGGGTTTGAATCCTGAATCTGCTCTGGACTCTCCAGGTAACCTTGGGTCACCAACTCAGCTTCTAAGAACTTTAAAGTTCCCTGAGCAAACCTCACAGAAATGGTTAGGGTTCAATAAAATAATGCATTTGAAACATCATGTGGCATTGGTCTTCTTACAGGATTTTCACTTAGCCCAAGTCTGGCCTTCCCTCTGGCAAGTGGTTCTCAATACAAGTGGTGTTACCTCTTAAGGAGCGCACAGTAAATGTGTAGGATGGTTTTTAGTTGTCAGGGTGCTGCGGGGTGGCACCAGCATTAAGTAGCTCCAGACCTGTCCCTTAAAGTGCAGGCATGTCTTGCAATCACAGCTTTGCACTCTGCATGGCTTTCAAACCTATGCCACACATCCATGATTCTGTTCATGACTCCCTGAGATCAGAACATAATTTCACTTTGCAAAGGAACACAGGACATTTTTTTTTGCATGGTTTTAACATACCTGAAAATTTCCAGGAATACAACTGTGTAAATTGATGAAAACTATACCTTGGGATATTTGAACTTGGCCAAGAGAGGTTCGCATTTTTGAAAACTGTATTCCTGACGACAATGCTCTTTGTGGTATCTGGGTCACCCACCGTAAGCATCACATCATGGTTATTTCAATGTGTAAGGATGTGTGTGTGTTTGTGTGTGTGGGACTATTTATTCACACACTTATTTAATATACTTATTTACCTTTTATTTCAAAATGTCAAATATAAAGTGTTGACAATATTCAGTATTGTCGTATTTCCTGTAAATCCAGCCGTACGTGTTGTAAGTGGGTACATGAGAAGATGTCATCAGTTAACTGTATCTTCTAGTATGGTTATGCCTATTTACATATTGAAAACATCTGCTTTTAAGAGACTTTATATTAGAGTGAAGACATTATATTGATATATTATACATGTTATATGTTAATATTAATATATTATAGAATTATATTAATATTTGGAAATTATATGTATAAGAAAGTTATATTACCTATAATTTTCATTTGGGATCATAGTAAAGGCAATATAAACTCTTTGCTATAAAAAGGGATTTGGAGCTTGATAGGGTCAAGAAACACTGCTCTTGGAAGAACAAAAAGAATTTCATCCAAGAGGGGAGGAATCTCAGGGGATTCTTATTTCAGGGCCTTAGAGCAATCCTACAGCAATCAGGTTTATGGGAAACCTATACCTTGTGGAGTTTCCTTAGAAGTTCTGCCAAACCCCCAAGTGTGAAGGGACTCACCTGTTCCCCTGTGTAAAAAGCAGAGTCGCACCAGTTTCCAACCTGACATTCTGTTTCTGAGTTTGTGCAGGGCATTGTACCTCTGTCTCTTCTAACCAATAGGGCCTTTGAGCCCACAGGAAGGGTCTGAAGGCAGACCTCCAGCAAGCCTAGGGGACTCAAGAAGCAAGTCTCATGGGATGCTTCTACATTCTAAGGGTGCCACAGCTGGAGGAGAGGCAGGCAGAGGAAGGCACAGCCAGGCAGTGGCCAAGGTACGGGAGTCCAGGAAGCACTCACCACCTGCAGGGGGCACCACCTGGTCCAGCAGCTTCATGCTGGTCCGCTTCCAGATCTTCTTGATGATGGCCCGCAGCTCCTCGTTGGCTTGTTCTAGGTTCCCTGCAGAGCGGAAAGGATCCTCAGCCCCTGGGTGGGCCTCTGATGGGCTGGGTCCCTCTGCGTAAGGTAGGAAGCCACAGATGGTGGCATCTGCCCCACGCAACCCTGACTCATCAGTTTCTTTCTCTTTTGCTTCACTTCTCCCCAGTCTTCCCATTTTCCACCTCCTTTCTCTTCCCCTTCCTCTCTCCATCTTCCTTCTTTCCCCTTTCCCTCTCCTGCATTGTCCAATGCCATCCCTCTCCCCTTCCCCGTGCCTGTGGCTCAGGCCAGCCAGAGGGCCCCTCTGCTGACACTCAGTGCTCTTCCTTGTAGACTGAGCCCAGCCCCTAGGCAGCAACAAAGGCGACCATGTGCTCAGCAGCTGGAACATGCATGGCCCTGCCATGGGCAGTGGAGGACAGCTCCCTACGGGTGGCATTTCTCATGGACCTCCTTAGGCAGCCACAGGGGACACGGATGATTGGAGGGTACATCTGTCAATGAGGGCCCTGTCCTGAGTTCCCCTACTTAGATATCTGTCCCATGCAGCCTCTGGCGTCCTGGCTTTACAGTGGTGTAAAAGGAAAGCTGAGACCTACAGCTGTGAGCAGATGTGGAGGTGGGATTCTAAGATGCTCCACACCAGGGCACACATGTTGCCAAAGCCCTGGCCCCTGACCATGATAGATTTTGCTCCTGAGACTAGGTTATATGGCACACAGCACCTATGGCCTAAGACAGAGAGGTCAGGTGGGCCTGACCCAGTCACATGATCCCTTTAAAAGCAGAGTTCTCTCCAGCTGGCCTGGAAGAAAACAAACACTCATGTGGGCTGAACTAAGAGAGGCAGCCTCTAGGAGCTGAGCGGGTCCCCAGCTGTCAGCCAGCAGGAAAGTGAGGACCTCAGACCTACAATTGCAACAGATGAATTCCACCAACAATGAGATCTCCCCCAGAGCCTCCAGAAGAGACCACGGCCTGATCAGTATCCTGGATTTGCCTTATGAGAACCCAGCTTCACCACTGCTGGACTTCTGACCTGCAAACCGTGAGCTAATAATGAGGTGTCTTTTTAAGCTGAAAAGCTTGTAGTAAATTTGTTTCACAGCACTAGGAATGTTCCACATTCAACCATGATACTGGACTGCTGGTCTTATGTGAGAGCAGTAGGGGATGTTTACTGCTCTTGCCTAGGACCAGCAGTTCAGTATCATGGTTGAGGGCTCTCATGTCAGACTGCCTGCGTTCAAATCCACCTCTGGGGTCACAGGGCAGAGCATGCAGAGGTGGCAGTGGAGTGAGTGACAGAATCCCGAGCTCCCTGAACGTCAGATCCAAACAGGACCTGAGGTCAGGGGATGACTCCCGGGCCTACCAGCTATGCAGGTGATCGATCCCCTTCATGGGAGAGGCAGCTGGAGGTTTCTGACAAGCAGTGAAAGATCCTAACACATATGGTATTCAAATATACTTAGCTTCAGCACTGGGCTGAAATAGTGTCCTTCCAAAATTCATGTCTGCCTAGAGCCTGGGAATGTGGCCTCAGTTGGAAATAGGATTTTCACCAATGTAATTAGTTAAGATGAGGTCACCCTGGATAAGGGTGAGCCCTAAATCCAACATGGCTGGTGTCCTTATAAGAAGAGGAGGGGACACAAGACCCCAGGGACTACGTGAAGATGAAGGCACAGATGGCGATGCTGCTGTGAGCCACCAGGCATCGTCCACAGCCCTCAGAAGCTGGGAGAAAAGGTGGAACAGATTCTCCCCAGATCCTCCAGAAGAAAGCAACACTGCTGATACCTGAGTTTTAGACCTCTGGCCTCCTCAACTGAGAGAAGAATTTGCTCTTGTTTCAAGCTGCCCAGTTTGTGATCATTTGTTACAGCAGATCTAAGAAATTAACACACCTTCCAAAAGGACCTTTCATTTTTTTTTAAAATCACACCTTAGTTTATCTTCATAATGGTCTATGTAATTGTGGAAGTTCACTGACAATTGTTTCATGTCATCTAAGTATTTTTCAATATCTTCCTTCTATATTTCAAGAGAAAAAGGCTTGTTTGGCTTGGTAGTGGACTTGGGGTGAGAGATCTGGTTCTCGGAAGTAGGTGTTAATTTCTCCCCAATTCCCGCCACTCTGAGAAGTCTGAAGGGCGAGGACTGATGTAAGCCTTATCCTCACAAATGTAGATGTCTTCTCACATTTCTTTCTAGTTGCTTTTAAGACTTGACATTGTCTTCCTTTCTTAAGATTTTACCAAGTTTGTGGAGGGCAGGCCCTTTGGAAGCTGTTCTGAAATGTTTCTGTGTTTAAAAAGATAGTCCTTAGCTCTTGACATGATTGTAGTTCTCACATGGCTGGCTTCTCTCCTTTTCTCTGGAACTCCTATTTCCTCAAAACTGGGCCTCTGCATTTGATTGGTCAGTCTTTTGCATTGTTACTAGCTACTGGTCTTCCTTAGCTGGCATGTGGTTTGCTTTGACAGTGAACCTTTGACTCTGCTGAATCCTTGCTTCCATACCTCCCTGCCTGTTCTTCCTCCACAGCACAAAATCTTACATCCGTAATTTATGTCAAGCTTTAAGTATTACAGCATATTCCTCCTGAGAGTCATCATATCGCCTCTCCTTCCCTTTGAACATAGGGTAGTAATACTCTTTGTAGAAAATTTGGAAAGTAAAAAAACTAAAGGAGTAAGGTAGAAGTCACTGCTGATCTTTCTACTCATGACAATCAATATTAACACAGTAACACATTTTCTTCCCAGTTTTCTTCTGTGTTATGTACACATGTGTGCATAAAATGTGTGTTTTGGCTGGGTGCGGGGTGGCTCACGCCTATAATCCCGGCACTTTGGGAGGCCAAGGCTGGCAGGTCATGAGGTCAGGATATGGAGACCATCCTGGTCAACATGGTAAAATCCTGTCTCTACTAAAAATACAAAAATTAGCTAGATGTGGTGGCGTGCTCCTGTAATCTCAGCTACTCAGGAGGCTGAGGCAGAAGAATCGCCTGAACCAGGCAGTTGGAGGTTGCAGTGAACCAAGATCACACCACTGCGACAGGGCAAGACTGGGTTTCAAAAAAAAACATGCGCGTTTTAGTTTTCTGGTAGTCAGAAATCAGCCTATTTATGTCCATTTCAGATTGAGTGATTGCATTGGCTACTGATGGTATATTTTTTTAGCCTTTGCTTTTTTTTTTTTTTTNTTTTTTTTTTTTTTTAGTTTAGTAGCAAAACTTGTCCTATTTTTATTTTTAATTTAATTTGATTTGATTTTTTCAGACAGTGTCTTGCTCTGTTGCCCCAGGCTGGAGTGCAGTGGCACGATCTCAGCTCACTGCAGCCTCTATCCACCTCCTAGATTCAGGTGATTCTCCTGCCTCAGCCTCCCGAGTGGCTGGGACTACAGGTGCTCACCACCATGCCTGGCTAATTTTTGTATTTTAGTAGAGATGGGGTTTCACCATGTTGGCCAGGCTGGTCTTGAGCTCCTGATCTCAGGTGATCCACCTGCCTCAGCCTCCCAAAGGGCTGGGATTACAGGCATGAGCCACTGTATCTGGCCCTTAGTTTTATTTTTTAAAAATCAGCTCATTATTTTGACTTTTGGTGGATTGGTTCTCATTTCCCTCCATTTCAAATGTTTCTGTAATTTTTTGGGAGGATCTAACTGAGAGAAGGCCCATCTCTGGTCTGTTCAATGAATTAAATTCCCAGGTGTCATCACCTTTCTCTAGCCTACAAATGAAGCAACTGAAGTAGAGACAGAGTAAATGGCTCATACTCTTGTCATTAGTGAGAGAGCAGGGACTCAGATTCCATCTCCCTGCCCAGGGCTCCTTCTGTTTCCCCAAAGGAAAAGACTGATGGACAGCCTGCACTTTAAGCTGGAAGCGTGGGAAGGGGAAAGAAGCATACTGCTTGTCTCATCCGTGTTTTCTCTAATTACTACATGGTTGGGTTTGAATCATCTCTGTAGCTGGTTCAAAATGCAGATTACTTGGCCCCACGCTCAGGGAGCTGGCTTCAGCAGATCTGTGGGGTGCCTGGGACTCAGTAGCTTAAACAGGTGTGCACAGCTGATTCTGCAGCAGGTGGTCTTTTGACCATGCTCTAAGAAACACTAGATGGGCTAAGGCTAGACACTCTTGGAGAGAAATGGCATCTTCTGAGGTATATTTAATACAGCCTTTCCCACAGTGGTTCGCAAACTCTTATCCATTGTAAAGTGGGCAGGTTATCTCACTCAGGCTGCTGCTAGCCTTAGGGTGCCTTGTGAAAACTAGAAGGGCCCCTCCTGGTGGACACAGCCCTGAGGGAGCCCGGTCTGACTAGGTGGCACAGGTGAGGTCTGAATCCTCACCTGTCGGCCAGCTGATAGCCTTGAGCCAGGCTCAGCTGACACGATGTGTGCAGTGACCTCCACCACAGTCACTATGTCCCCATTCCCAGATGTCTTCATAGCACTGTCCTAATAATTTAAAGAGTTGCGTGTTTGAGACCCCTGCCTGTAGCCAGTGTAAGTCCTTTTAGACAGGGGTTGGTCCTGCTTCAGGGAACACCCGTCTCTTCCTGTTTTGTGAGCTATACCCTCTGACTTAAGACACTTCCCAGAATGCGTCCCAGAGTTTCATGGAAAGCTAGAGTTCAAAATGAATAAGCTAGAGCAAGCTTGTCCAACCCACAGCCATCAGCCACCTGCGGCCCAGGACAGCTTTGAATGTGGCCCAACACATATTTGTAAACTTTCTTAAAACATTGAGGTGTTTTCTTTTCTTTTCTTTTTTTTTTTTTTAAGCTCATCAGCTATCGTTAGCTATCGTTAGTATATTTTATGTGTGACCCAAGACATTCTTCTTCTTTCAATGTGGCCTAGAGAAGTCAAAAGATTGGATACCCCTGAGCTAGAGGCAGGGAGGCCATTCAGGAAGCAAATAAGTCATGAGCAGGCTGGGGCCCTGTGACATCCTGGAGCACAGGTTACTCTCATATCGCTGCTCGGAAGCTGTCTGGGGCAGGAAGGTCCCTCGAGCGCTTTGCAGGCTGCTGAACTCCTCTCTGATTGTCTGCTAGACTGGCTGAGTGGCTCTCCAAGTGCCCACAGGTGCCCTTACCTTCTGTTTTGATCCTCAGGGCCGTCCTGACCAGAGCAAACAGGGTGGCATTGAACATGACCGTCCCGTCGCTGTTCAGAGGCATGTTCATGGAGACCAGGCGCTGCAGGGGAAGGGGGGAAAAGCTGGTGATGACGGCAGGTGGTGCTTAGGGGACCACAGAACACCATGGCAGAGTGATATGGTTTGGGTCTGTGTCCCTGCCCAAATCTCATGTTGAACTGTAATCCCCAGAATTGGAGGTGGGGCATGATGGACGGTGACTGCATCATGGTGGTGGATTTCTCACAAATGATTTAGTACCATCCCCTTGATGAGTGAGCTCTCATGAGATGTGGTTGTTTAAAAGTGTGTGGTCCCTCCCCCTTCTCTCTTGCTCCCTGTCTGTCCGTGTGACACACCTGCCTCCCCTTTCCCTTCCACCATGATCGGAAGCTTCCTGAGGCCTCCCCAGAAGCAGAATGCTCGTGCCATGCTTTCCATACAGCCTGCAGAACTGTGGGCCAGTTAAACCCATTTTCTTATAAATTACCCAGTCTCCACTATTTCTTTATAGCAGTATAAGGATGGCCTAATACACAGAAGATGCTGGGGGAGACACAGCTTGTGTGGGTGTTGTTGGAGTAGGCAGGGAGTGAATACTCCCTGAAGCATTCCAGGGAGAATCTTGCCTTCACCATAACTACTTTTGACACTCATCACAGAGTGGGAAAGGTATGAAATTTGTCCTCATTAGACCCTCACTTCCACAAAAGGATGTGAAGCCCACCCAACCTTGCGCCCCGCTTGAAAGCCTGCTCAGGCATGCAGGTGTGCTCTCCACTGGCAGCAGAGGCCAGCTGCACGCCATCATGTGCTGGGAGCCCACCTGTCAGGCAGCATTTGTCCACAGCCCAGAGAAAGGATCACAGGAGCTTTGCCTGCAGGAGATGCTGCCTGTCCTGTCTATTGACAAATACGCTTCTGCATCAAGCCGGAGCAGATGCTTGCTGATACTGGGTAGTGCTATCTTACCTTCTTCTTTGCAAGGGCACCCCCAAAACAGGCTTCCCTGGCACTGAAGGCTCTGGTGTGGGGCTCTCAGCATGCACTGGGCCATGATGAGGATGTGAGATGTGAAGATCATCATGGCGTCCATGCTACAGGAACGCTCAAGGCGAGCTGTTTGTCTGCTAACACGGTGACCTCCTGCTAATCTCAGTGTCTAGAAGGGTTACGCTTTTCCTGAGTGACCAGATGTTGGTGACCTGAACCTCATGGACAGTGAGAACTGTATCATGGCCACTGGAAAGTTTCACACCCAGGCTTCAGCCGGCCCAGGCCCACCCTGAGGTACATGAACCCCCTCCAAGCTGCACCCCTCCACCGACCCTCGCTTTGCATGGTGTTTGCACCTTGCATTTATTTTATGCTCCCTTTTTCTGATATTTTCTGTGCGCTTGGAAATCTCTTAAAATCTGTTTTTTGGAGCAGAGTGGAGGCACACCTGAGAAGAAACTCAGTGAACAGGGCACAAGTAGATGGTTCTGTGTGCCCTCGATCTGTGTTTTCCGTGAATGGATTCTCACAGGGCTGAACCCTCCTGCCTCTGAGTTTCCTCCTCTCTCTATCCCTCTGGTCTCCCTTCCCAGCTCTCCGTCAGCTCATTATTGCCCCAACAGGGAGCACAGAATGACTAGGGTGGAGAGGAGGGGAGGAATAGAAATGACACTCTTTTTAGGGTCACGGTCTCACTAAGGAATCTGATTAAAGTGAGAAATCCTCCCCCTGGTAAAACTTTGTATTTTAGTGATTTTACGTACAATTTTAGGACTCACAGACCCCTGAAGTCAATGCCTGGACTCTCTAATGGCCCTCCAGCTCCAGTAAAAGAACTCCTAACCCCTCTAGCCTAGGCTGAGAAGTCTCCCATCCCAGGGTGCCTGGATGGTGCAGTGGGATGGGCTGAACAAGCCCTTTATCCAGAACTGGGCTCCTGGCTCACTGGGACATGAGGCATTCACTCTGTTATTCCCTTATGGAGTCTGCGGACTTAGAGCTGGAAGCACCCTTAAGATGTAATCTGGCTCAGGCTCCTTCCTTTAGGCCTAAAACTAGTATGTTCTTTCCCTTAGAGGATCACAAGAAATGGGCACTTTGCCTACCCTGTTTTCTCTCTTCCTCCCATGAACCCAGTCATCTCTTACTTTGCAAGCCACACGGTGAGGGCACAGCTTCCCAAAACCTAGTGGGGGCTGAATCCGCCGGAGAAGGGTCACCACGTCCAGGTGTTTGATACGACCCCTGGAACAGGAAGGAGAAAGGAGAGGAGGGACAGAGCATCAGAGAGTCATGGTCTCTGCTAGCAGCTCAGGACACATGCACCTGAGGGGTACAGCCCACTCATATGGGGAACGCTGCATGGTGTGGTGGCCCAATTAGTTGCACTCAGTGCAGAGTTGCAGAACTGCATGACACAGCCCCAAACCAATACACACGTTTAGATTTTAATGAGTAATTTTCTGCCCATGCTATGTTCAAGGTGGAAGGGATTTTAGCAGCACAACGGAATTCTCAATATGTACTTGATGATTGAATGAACTAACCTTTAAACCAAAAGGTATTTACTGAGGGTCAGTCAAATGATCTTTAGACCAGAAGCAGGAATGGAGTCAAGATTTTCCCCATCCCACATATCCTAACTTCAACACTTACTAGTTATTCCTGATACTAGAATTTCCTATCCTTCCATTCAACTGAATATTGCATATGTAAATATATTTTGAGATGGAGTCTTGCTCTGTCACCCAGGCTGGAGTGCAGTGGCGTGACATCAGCTCACTGCAACCTTCACCTCCTGGGTTCAAGCAGTTCTCGTGCTTGGCCTCTGGAGTAGCTGGGACTATTAGCATGTGTCACCATGTCTGGCTAGTTTTTGATTTTTAGTACAGATGGGGTTCACCATGTTGGCCAGGCTGGTCTTGAACTCCTGGCCTCAAGTGATTCACCCACCTTGGCCTCCCAAAGTGCTGGGGTTACAGGTGTGAGCCACCATACCTGGCCTAGTAGATATATTCTTGACTTTGAGGTGCTGGGCCTTGTCCTGCTGGACCTTGACCCTTCACCCTGGGGTTTGATGCAGTTCAGTGTTTCCAGTTGATCCACGCAGTGTTGGCCCACCTCGAACCCCTTCTGTAGGTGTGGTCAGCTATACCCTCTCTCAGCTTGGGGAATCAGGATTTCCCTCTGGGAACTTACTTGGCTTCAGGGTCATACTCTGCCCAGATTCTTTTAAACTCATCCAAGTGGTGGGGACCAAGGATGGACCAGTCCCTTGTCAGGTAGTCAAAGTTGTCCATGATGACAGCTACAAAGAGGTTGATGATCTGTGGGAAACAGTACCATGAAGTGCTCTGAGAAGACATTCCTACACACCTGCCTCTGGAACCCCCTTGCCAGCCAGGGCCCATAGATGGCAGAAGCCAACATTTCTAAAGACCAGTAATCCATCTTGCCAGTCTTAGAACTACCAGTCTTGGGTCTCTTGGACATAACCTTGACACAGCTTCCCTGAGAGTTGCGTGGGATGAACCCACATCTGGGCTACAGCTTCCCTCCTACTGAGCTGCTGGGTAGGGCTGCCCAGGAGGGGGACTTTATCCCCTTTCCCTCACTCCTCAGCAAGATGCTAAAAAGCATAGTTCTTTCTAGGCCTCCGAATGTCCCCTTTGTCCTCTGGGACAATGCCACTATGACAAGAGCCAAGAATGGGCAAGCAAGATGCTGGTGGCGCTCACTCTGGCCCAGGGCTTTCTGCCTTTCTCTCCATGTGGCTGGACACTCCTGCCAACTTAGTCTTCCCAAGCCAGCTCCTCTGATGGGGTTGCCCTGACCATGAGCTGCAGAGATGGAGGGCTCAGGCTGCCCTGGAACTGGGCACTCATGACTGGTAGCTGTTGAGTCCCCCGTCGGCTTACCAGGAAGGCACAGAGCATGTAGAAGCTGATGAAGTAGAAGACGGCAAAGCTGCTGCCACAGGGCGTTTCACCCTCCGTGCTGTTGCTGGGCTCAGACTCTGGAGCACACTTCTTGCCTGGCATGCAGGCCAGCATGATGTCTTGCCAGGCCTCCCCAGTGGCACACCTGGAGGGGAGGGAGAGCCCACAGCCATGCAGCCCATCCTATAGACTCCAAGGAGGGCCCTCTCATCCTTCCCCACCTTTCCCTTTCCTCCTTCCCCAGAGGGAATTACTAAAATGAACTCGATGTTCATCATTCTCCAAATGCTCTGGTATGTTCACTAAATATGCAAACACACAGCATTATTTTGGAGATTTAAAAATTTTACATAAACAGTAACAAATTGCACGTTTTCTGAAAACTTGCTGTTTTTGCAATCCACGCGATGTTTTTGAGACTTAGCGCTTTGGATGTATTTTAGTTCTAGTTCTTTCACCTTGACTGCTGTATAGTATGCTACATGAACGTACCATAAAAAAAATCCACTGTCCTGTTAAGGAACATTTAGGTTTTTCATTTTTTCTTTTACTAGGACAAATAACACTGCAATAAACATGCAGGTTTATATCTTGGGTATACACTTAGAAGTGGGATTGCCAGTTAAAGTACATGTATCTTCATTTTTACTAGATATTCCATGTTTGTCCAACTTAGACTCCTATTACCAGTGTAGGAGACATGACATTACCGTACAAACTCATCAATTCATTAGTGAATTGTTTTAAATGTTGCTCATATAATGTGTGTGAGACAGGTCACTGCTGCTTTAATTTGGTTACAAAATGATTGATTAGTGGGTTGAGAATTTAGATATTTATCTTCCGTTAAATTGCATGTTCATATTTTTGCTTGTTTGATTCAGGTTGTTTTCTTGCTCGTTTGTAGGGTGCTTAAGATATTCTATTCTCTATTCTTTTAAAAAATTTCAATAGTTTTTTTTGCAACAGGTAGTTTTTGCTTACGTGAACAAGTTCTTTAGTGGTTAACTCTGAGATTTGGTGCACTCATCACCCAAACAGTGTACACGGTACCCAATGTGTAGTCTTTTATTCCTGACTGTCGTCCCACTCTTCCCCGAGTCCCCACAGTCCATTATATCATTCTTATGCCTTTGCATCCTTACAGCTTAGCTCCTACTTATAAGTGAGAACACATGATATTTGGTTTTCCATTCCTGTTACTTCACTTAGAATAATGGCCTCCAAGTTCATCCAGGTTGCTGCAAAGTCCATTATTTTATTCCACTTTATGACTGAGTAGTATTCCATGGTGTATATACGCCACATTGTCTTTATCCATTCATTGGCTGACGGACATTTAGGTTAGTTCCATATCATTTTTTCTTTCTTTTTTTTTTTGAAACAGAGCCTAGCTCTACCACCCAGGCTGGGGTGCAGTGGCACAATTTCAGCTCACTGTAACCTCCACTTCCTGGGTTCAAGCGATTCTCCTTTCACCTGCCTCGGCCTCCCGAGCAGCTGGGATTACAGGCATGCACCACCACACCCTGCTAAGTTTTGTATTTTTAGTAGAGATGGGCTTTCACCATGTTGGCGAGGCTGGCCTTGAACTCCTGACTTCAAGTGATCCGCCTGCCTTGGCCTCCCAAAGTGCTGTGATTGCAGGCCTGAGCCACCACACTCAGCCTGTTCCATGTCTTTCCAGTCGCAAATTGTGCTGCCCTAAATATGTGTGTGCATGTCTCTTTCATATAATGACTTCTTTTCCTTTGGGTAGACACCCAGTAGTGGGACTGCTGTATGGAATAGTATAGTATATCCCTTTTAGTTCTTTAAGGAATCTCCATACTGTTTTCCATAGTGGTTGTATTAGTTTATATTCCTACCAGCAGTGTAAAAGTGTTTCCTCTTCACCACAACCTTACCAACATCTATTATTATTATTTTTTAAATTATAGCCATTCTTGCAAGAGTAAGGTGGTATCTCATGGTGCTTTCACGTCAATTCTTAATTCTTCGTTAGTTGTATGCAACAGAAATATCTTCTTCCAATCTGTGACTTGTCTCTAGCATTATTTTTAATTTTTTTAATTTTTTTTAATTTATTTTATTTTATTTTTTTGAGACAGAGTTTCGCTCTTGTCACCCAGGCTGGAGTGCAATGGCGCGATCTCGGCTCACCGCAACCTCCGCCTCCTGGGTTCAGGCAATTCTCCTGCCTCAACCTCCTGAGTCGCTGGGATTACAGGCACGCGCCACCATGCCCAGCTAATGTTTTGTACTTTTAGTAGAGACGGGGTTTCACCATGTTGACCAGGATGGTCTCGATCTCTTGACCTTGTGATCCACCCGCCTCGGCCTCCCAAAGTGCTGGGATTACAGGCTTGAGCCACCGCGCCCGGCGTCTCTAGCATTATTTATGGTGTATTTTGGTGAATCTAAGTTTTTTATTTCAGCGAGGTCAAATTTATAATTTTTTCCTCTATGTTTTGTGCTTTTTGGATCTTGTTTAAAAAATCCTTCCCTATTTTAGGTCATAAAGACATTCTTTTCTGTGTTCTTCTAAAGGTTCTAAAGTTTAGTTTTTCACAATAACTTATTAACTTGAAATTTACTTTCAGGTTTGATATGAGGTAGAAATATGCTTTTTTTTTTTCTGTATAGATAAGTAATTTTATTAATACTATTTATTGAATAGTACACCTTTACCTACTTAATTGGAATATTTCTTCTGCCATGAGCTGTATTTTCATAGGTGTGTGGGTCTCGTGCTAGTTTTTGCATTGCATTCCTTAGGTTTATTTGTTTATCTTGGTACTGATGTACTGTGTTGTCTTCATTCCTATAGCCTTATAGTAAGTCCTGCCCTCTCACAGAGCAGGAGGCCTTCCGACTTGTTGTTCTTCAACATTTGTCTTGGCTATTCAGTTTCCTTTTCTATTCCACAGACACATTAGAATCAGTTGCAGGCTCTATGAGTAATCCTGTTGGGAGTTTTATTAGAATTGCTGAGATATCTATTAATTTGGGGAATCCTGACATCTTTATGATATTAAGTCTCCTGGCCAGAAATGTGGCATATCTCTCCTTTTATTTTGTTGTACCTTTAAAATGGTATAGTTTCAACATTATGTTTTAAACGCTGTATCTGTTTGCTGCTGATATAGAGGGAATACAATTAATATCATATTACAGAATATTTGCTAAGCTCCCCTCTTAGTTTTAGCAATTTTCTGTAATTTTTCTTGTATATATACACAGGCTATCAGTTTTTTTGGCATTTAATTTTGTTTCTTCCTCTCCAATTCTTAGCCTTTGCTTTATTTTTCTTGTCTTGTTTTATTGGGCAAGAGTTACAAAATACTAATATTGAAAAAATAATAGCATAAGATCTTGTCTATTATATTTCTAATTAATTATTACCAGTACAGGAAAGCAATTATTTTTCTTTGTTAATATTTTAATCTTCCACTTTATTAATTGTGTTGTCATAAAAGGTTCTTAGTTAATTTGCATAGATTTTCTACTTGAATTAGCCTATTGTCTGCACACAATGACAGTTATGTGTGCATATTTTCATATTTATAACTGCTTGCTTTTTAATCTTTTTCTTATTGGCATTAATTTTATATTAGTCTTACGGGATGAGTGAGGAGGTTTTCTACAGCTTTCTGTCCCTGGAAAGTTTATATAACATTGTAATGATCAACTATTTCATAGACCTCACAAATAAAAATATTGAATGTTGGGCTTTTTCAAAGGCTAAATTTTTGACTACCTTTTCAATTTATGTTGTAGTTTTCTTCTTTTATTCTTAAGATAACTTTATAATTCCTTTTTTCTACATAAAAGCGTCTGCTTCATTTAGGTTTTCAAATATATTGTCATAAATTTGTTCATGATCTCTGTCTTCTTATTTCAATCTGATATTATTTGTCTGCCACTTTTAGAAAAATCTTGTGTGTGTGTGTGTGTGTCTGTGTGTGTGTGTGTGTGTGTGTGTGTTTAGAGATGGGATGTCACTTCGTCATCCAGGCTGGAGTGCAGTGGAGCCATCTTAGCTCACTGTAACCTCAAACTCCTGGGCTTAAGTGATCTTCCCACCTCAGCTTCTCAAGTAGCTGGGACTACAGATGATTGGCACCACACCTGGGTAATATTTTGATTTTTTATTTTTAGAGATGTTGTTTTGCCATGTTGCCCAGGCTGGTTTCATACTCCTGGTCTTAAGTAAGCCTTCCACCTCAGCCTCCCAAGTTGTTGGGATTACAGGTGTGAGCCGCCACACCTGGTGAAACTTTTATTTTTGATAGACTGAGAAGCTCTCAGTGGGCATAGCCTCCATGTCTTGGAGATCCGTTCCTGGCATTTATCTTTGGTATCCTTCATTCTCTTGGCCAAAAGTTTAGCATATTATTTGACCTCGTCTTTATTATTATTACTATTTTTGAGACGGAGTCTCTCTCTGTTGCCAGGCTGGAGTGCAGTGGCATGATCTCAGCTCACTGCAACCTCCACCTCCTGAGTTCAAGCGATTCTCCTGCCTCAGCCTCCTTAGTAGCTGGGATTACAGGCATGTGCCAGGCTAATTTTTGTACTTTTAGTAGAGATGGGGTTTCACCATGTTGGCTAGGCTGGTCTCGAACTCCTGACCTCATGATCCACCTGCCTCGGCCTCCCAAAGTGTTGGGATTATAGGCATGAGCCACCACACCTGGTCGTCCTTACATGTTTTTTAGTGTTCTGTTTCTTCAGAGCAATACGTCAGCATTTGTGTTGTAGGACATGTGGAGTGAGAAGATGCTGAGTCTTGGGTGCTCTGGCCCCAGGTTCCTGACATCCTTTGTTTAGGAGCTTACTGACAACGTACTGCTGGACATCGTCTTTACAGAGGAGGAAAAGTTATTGAACTGTGCCATCTTGTTTGGATCCCCGGTGAAAAGGCACAGTAGTATCAGTCAGTCTAGAAATATCCTTCTCTCCCCGCTATCTTTTTTTACAATAACTAAATTAAGAACAGTCAGATTGGCACCAACAGTGCAATCCTGAACAATCTGCTTTCCTTCTCCAGTTCTCCTTGGTCTATGTCAGAATGCCCGTATGCAATAGCAGGTGGACACAACCACAGGTCAGGACATGCCACTTCATAAGGAAGCCATGCTT